GTAAATGATTGTTTATTATTGTCACATAATTTTTACTGTATGAACATATTTCTTTCTTATTTACCTATGTGCTCCATTTATTTATCATCTTCAATTTTTTTCTAATCAAGGAGTAAATAATAAATTAAATAATTATGTTTATTGAAATCGAAGTAATACTGTTAATTCCGTTACTATTATTATTTTCAGGGTTCTCTGTCGGCGACGAACTGGGCTTTCCTCAATCGTTGTCGAATGTAGAGGCTGCCAAAAGGAGAAGCGTCCAAATCAGCAGGGGCAATGTACCATCATTTACTAATTCGGTAAGAATTGTCATATAATAAAAATAAATTAGACAAATTTAGATATTATTAGATACGATACTTGTGATTAATGTTTATAGCGCTGATACATCAATGAATTGTAAATATAGAGAAATGAATTATGTAATCACTTTTTTATTCACCTGGTATCCGTTTATGACACACGTTGCTCTGTAGGAATCTATTTCATACAAACTAGCTCAAGGAAAGTCTACGATGCGTAAATAGAGAATTATACTAGTATTTGAAAATATACCGTTTATGTGCACGCTTATATGTTGTCTTTCGTTTTTTCATCGGGGTAATTAGGTCTATCCTGACTGAAGCTGCAACATATATCGTATCGTTACTTTTCCATAATCCTGAATCATGTTTTTATGTTACGCGTAAACAGAATTCAATACAAATACCGTATTGAAATTTATAGAAGGTTCCAAGGATGATTATAATTATTAATTTATGCAAAAACAATGAAATCGTTTTCAATATAACTACTATAGTACATATTAACAATAAAAGAAGTCTTGTGGAAAGATATTATTTGTGTATCACTGTATTTTGATTATTTCAGAATTATTAATTGTCCTCGATTGAAAGAAATCGTTTCTGATTATAATGGCATAATCTCAACTGTGTGAAGGATCGATCTTGTAACAACTAGTGCATGAATGTCGGCATAGCACTTGTCGCGAACAGCTTCTGTAACAATAACCAAGCTAAGCACAAGGTTCGCGTTCACACGAGTACACAGGGATGCAAATAATCCATTAGAACGTTAAAGGCTGGTAAAATAATGAAATGATGATCGAATTAGGACAAGTCTTTACAATTTTTTTTGTATCTCAGTTGTTATGGAGCACGGGTGCCAGTGCAAAGTTTAATGTCTGAGATGTTGGAACTATAAAATTAAAATTATTTCTCAGCTAACTTTCCCATTCGAGAAATATATTTTATCTTTCATAGTTATTTAGAGAAATGGGTCTTGAGGTCTTTTAATGTAGAACGACGGCTGAAGAGATGAGTTTATTTATGAATTATTTTCTCCAATTTTTTCCTCGAATGCAGTTGGCAACACCTTCATCAAAATCTCCATACTTGTACATATTTTAAGGAAATGTGTGAATTAATCAAGCTCAATCTAATGTTTACCGATCAAGTCAAAAGACTCTTGTAGTTAAGGAAAGAATGATTTGTTTAAGGCAACCAATCGAGAAGATGTCAGACAACACGCGCAAAGTTCACGTCAAGTGGTTCCTCCTTTCAAACCTTTGCCGCCTGGAGCTACAAGACCAATTGCTCAGCAACCAGAACGCCAGAAATTAGTCGTTCAACAGAATTCTACGGCTCTCAGGACCATACCCGCGCCAGCTTTGTCATCGACGCAACAGGATTTGATGAGGCAGCAGCAGCAGCAGCAACAACAACAACAACAACAACAACAACAGCAGCAGCAGCAGCAGCAGCAGCAGCAGCAGTTGGCGCAACAGGAAGCGAAGCAAAAGCAACAACAGAGACAGCAGCAAGAGGCATTCGCGTTGCAGGTGTTGAAACAACAACGCATGCAGCAACAGGAAGCTATGAGACAACAACAGCTCCAAAAGATGCAACAGCAACAGAAGCAGCAGCAACTGGTGGCGCAACATCAAAAGCGACATCAACAAATGACTTCGACGCAGGTGAAGAGGGATCAGGTAATGTTTCAATGTTACTGATTTTATTCATTGTAATGTTTTTGCGTTTTATTTCATGAAAAGTAATTTTATTTCCTTAAAGTAATTAGTTAGTTGAAATTAATCTTCATTCTGGCTTGTAAAAAAATCGTAGGAAATCGATTCTTCTAGTCGTTAGATGAAACTATTATTTATTTGTTATCTTTTCAATAAACTATTAATTATTTTCATTTACTTACTCTTTTTCGCTAGACGCCACAGATACTCGCAGTTGCATCTACAATGCCAGGCAAGTTGCCTAACATTGTCGCCGCGATTCCACCACCTAGCAGCATAGTAGAATCTGAATCATCATCGAAACCGATAACTTTAGGACTGCCACCGTTCATCACTATGCCGCCATCGTCTGCACAGTTAACCGATCGAATTAGCAACAGTCCTACAGTTCTGGAAGACTCTGATAACGAAGTGTCGAAAGATGATTTCAATCAGGTAAGATTTTTGTTTTTATAATTCTAAAAATAACTGCAAGCTCGGGCTTAAATGTTTGATCCCTTCGAATTTCCTTCATCCAAGTATCCTCTGACTTTGAGACTAACAATAAGTGATACAACATTGATGTATACTGTATATTAGCTAATTTCATTAGCATTTTAGTACATGACTTGAGAATTTAAAAGTATGTTAGATAGAGAAAAAGGTTGTGTATAGTGTCTAGAGTTTGCTGGTCAGGCTCATAAATCAAGATGACCCAACAGATTTTGTCTCAGATACGAAATATTCGTTACAAGTAGGATTTCCTGTATGTAAGAATTTATTGCCTTGCAATGAAATGTTCAGGAAATGTAACCTAGACTGAAAAGCATTAATTAACTGCTGGTATCTAGAGACGCGGTAGCTAGCGCTACAGTAAAGTCTCCATAAATTGTAATCACTGGACGGCCGCGGCGCGGCCGATCGAACTCCTCGACCCTCCAACGGGTATTCCCCACAGTAGTGGTGGACATGATTTCAGGGCATTTATGTTAGAGATATTTGTGCATTTGTGGAGACTTTACTGTACCGCGTACCTTCAAGTCAATTTCAAACGAACGATTTCTCTGGGCAATAGAAAGAAGACATCTTTCATTGAGTATTCTTAGATTGAAGTCTTAGTAACGATTTACTTGTTCTTAGTAACATAGAAATCATTAATTTCGAGATGATCTTGAAATCTTTAAAAGTTTCTTTCTTGGTATTTTTAAGCTACCTTTACCCGGGGACGAGGCCGCTTCTTCGGTGAACGAGATGACTTTACTTTCTCTCCAGTCAATCTCATCCGAATCCAATCATGCCTTGAAGCAACAGCAGAACGAGAAACGACAATCTTTGCCATCGTCTTTGCCATCCCTGGCGCCCATTCAAGGGATGGAGACGTCTTTGAAAGCTCTGGCAGAAGCCAGCAACATCACTCTGGAAGCTTTAGAAGCAGCGATCCTACTTAGGCAACAGCAACTCTTGCGCAAGCAACAGGGACCCACTAGTACGACTACGAGCACGACTACGACTGTGTCTCCTCCAAAAAAGTAATTTCCATCCTATAATTATCAGAGGACTATTGAAATAGTCCAATGGGCGTCGGAAAAGGGCTTGATAATGAATAAACATTAATAAAAGATGATTAAATTGTGGTCCCATTTGATAATTATTGGATTTCAATTTTTCAAATTCTCTATTTATTTTCAGTAAATATAATTCTGGAGCTACCAAAGTGATGAACGCGCCACGTGAATATTATCCGTTGGGTTATGACAAGAATTTCGACGATAATTTCGCCAGTCGAGTGGATCTTCCAGATACGAGCTTCTATTGCGGTGATCAGAAACATTTCCCTGGACTTTATGCTGACGAGGATCTTGGATGTATGGTAAAATATCGGTTCTCATCATACGTGAAGTATACTTTTATGCATAGTCGAAGTTAATATTTTAAATTTTGTAAATGTTCCCTAAAAGAATTAATACTACAGTAATATTTCCATTAATACTACGATATAAATGTTCTCGCTTCGCAAAAGTCACCAAAGTACACTTATCTGTTTAGCTTTATCTACATCAATAATATGTATTATTCTTTGGTGTCCATTTAGGTATTTCATGTCTGCGCGCTGACGGATGATGGCTTGATCATGAAGAGCTTTCTGTGTCCCGAATCGACGTTGTTCGACCAAACGATCCTGAAATGCAATTGGTGGTTCTACGTCGACTGCAAATCCTCGAAAGGCCTGTACGACAGCAACATACCGATAAGCAAGAGCTACCAACTCATGAAAGCTCTAGCATTCTTTTCAGCGTACAAAAACCATGAAAATAGTACAACCAATGCTCAAGAAAGCTCGGATACCGAGAGCTCCTAAACTTACCTCGTAAGGAACCTGATTCGTCGACCTTAGTATAATAGTTGGGGCATCTTCGACAGACTTTGGTCGGTTCTACGATTGCCAATTTAATGTTCCTTTAATCCATTAAGTCTCGAGATACTTAAAATTAACTCACACACTGTGAAACGTCGTGCTATATTATGTCACTTGTCCTTGGCGAAGACTTTCTTCAATTAACGAATCATTTCCAAGTTAATTCCTTTCTCAAAGGACAGTCTTAATGGGTTAGATAGGACTTTTCGTAATAATCGTTTCGTAAGACGAGGGATATACTTTGATAGCTTTTCGTTTAGTGCTGCAACGATTAATTTTCTAACAATAACACACACACACACACGCGCGCGCGCGCGCGCGCGCGCACGCTGCCGTTTCTATTCCAAACGATAAGTATGTACATATAATTTATTGTATTAGAACGTAATGTAACCGTAGCGAGTAATTTTTTACGATAACGTTGTAAATAGTTATACTTTGGTCTATTCGTTAATATGGATTGTTTAATAATAATTATATTTTCCCATATTATTATTTTACTTTACACAGTAAATTATAGGAAATTATGATTTCCTTTTCGATGGGTCTGCTGGTGGAATGAAAAATGCGGACACGTAGAAAGCATAACATTTATTATGGCAAGTACGGGTAACGGAGAATAATACAAATTTTATGGCAATATTGCCTCGTTACAATTTACGCAGTCAGTCTATAATTTCTCGTCGACGTTTTCAATCGTCGTTCGAAATTTAATTATACACAAAGTCACGTGACAGTCCAATAAGAGATCGAAACAATTCGTACGCTCCAAAGGCACAATGTTCACAGATAAATCGGTTCACAATAATCAGCGAGAATCAGTGTACTCGCCGATCCTTTAATCTCTACAATAATTGTAAAGCGATTAGTAATCCGTTTTCTAAAGGTTATAAAACGTTGCATATGTTATTTCATTATTATCGTTTACAAAAGCAACATGCGCACGCCGATTGGACACGTCGAAGACGAAGCATCGAATTGCTCATCTTTCTAAAGGTTTCGTAAAATAAAAAATTGTTCCATATATATATCCTTTTAAATAGAACACCGATGGATTATGCTTCGAAATTATAGTTACAAATATAGCTAGCTAATAAAGCTAATAAGAAGGAGCAGAAATGTATTTTTTAATAAATACATGCCTGAAGAGTAATCGTTTCAGAGATGTCCAATTACTTAATTTTCAAGTCTGAAAAATTAGACAAATTGTTCCACGAATTTAAAGAATTTTTCGAATGAATTGTTAAATAAGATTTCTAGAAGCGCTCGATATATCAAACACTCTATAATAAATAAATAGCTATTATTTGATAAAAGAAAAAAATGATTACTTTTCGAGTGGATATTTATTAAAATTTTCTTGCTCTAGGTAACACGCTCTGTCAACCAATTAATTTTCCGTACATAATTCAAAAACACTTTGTTTAAAAGTAGTCATTAAGTATTTTATCTGGCAGTGCAAGGGTAAGTAAACCTACAGCGACACGTATAACGTTTAGAGTTACTTTCGATGATTCGGTCGCGATATCAACTATTAATCAAGAAACGTTACATTTACATTAAAATTATACTTGAATGGTTGCGAGAGATTCTCATTCTAATTCTTGCTTCGCTCTGGAACACGAGAGGCAGCACTGCTGCTGATAAAAGTGATAAGTGCAGAGCCGAGCCTGCAATACTAAATTGCAGTTCGATATACTGTCCTTGCAAAGTGCATTTTCTTCCAGTCCTGAAAGTAACAAATTAACGTAATTAAAAAAATTAAATTAAACAAATTTCATGACGATTGCTTGGTATACCATTTGAAATTTCTGGATCGTTTTGAACTTGCAGAACTCTATGATGGTTTTCAGATCCGTGCACGTCGTCCTTGCAAGGGTAGTCGTTGCAGGTCCTTCGAGATATAGGTCTGTCCTTGTCCTTGCAGTGAAGCTCGTGATGTTCAGGCGGTTGACCCTCGCTATTCAGACACCTCACTTCCCTTTTCTGAATACCTTTTCCGCATGACCGGGAACACTGAAGAGAAATAAATACATATATAAGTATTATGTACAGAGCGCAGAAAAAGGAATGATACGAACGGTGAAGGATTAGCATATTTTTAGCAATACATCATTGATACAGTAAACAATCAATTGTAGAGAACATTCACAATATTTTTAGTTGAATAAATTAGATATTATTATAGATAGGATATTTTACAGTATATCAAATTTATAATCAGATGTAAAGAAATTTACCAGCTTTGAATGTTCATATATGTATATAGTAATTCAACGATGCATAAAAATTCATTTGTTTAAGTTTAAATTACCTCTGTCCAGTCTGATATGAACCACATGGACGTACACGGTGGACGGTTGCATGGTCTCCTTGTTTCCGGTTTGTTAGCGGGGCAGTTCATATCCAGAACCACGCGAAGGGCTCCGCGAAGGGTCGTTACGCAAACTACTTCTCTAACCTGTTCTCCTGAATCACATTCCGTGGAACACTGGAGCGGAGCGGAAAATAGAAAACGATTGATATTTATTGCTAAGCTAGTAAGATGCAATTATCTGTAACGAGCGCGTAAAAGATTAGAGTAACAGCAATTACGTTAATGCCAACTTCCGAATATTAAGCTTAGGGATAAGAAATGTCCGAGAGATTCGACGACAACCCAAGTTGTACGCAGATCTGAATGCTCTTATACGATAGTAATATTAATTTATATATGATATCTTTTTCTTCTTAAAGTATTCATCACTTTATTAATGTTATCGAAACGAACCTCGGACCAAGGTCCCGTAAACCATTGCCCACTGCAGGTTCTGTTACTTGAACAGCTTCTGGAGGTTTCGGGTCGACTCGATTGCTCGCAAAATTCCTCCTCTGGACTGTTATCGCAGAAGACCTTTCTCGTTTGCACACCAGTTCCGCATTCGGCCGAGCACTGGAACGTTGCGAAAGAATGTTGTTCTCGTTAAGGCAGTTGAAAATATTTATAAAATCGGGTTTAATGATCGGCCAATCTGGACAAGCCTTATATAACGTTTTCGGCTGATATATATCAACGATCAACGATCATCGATATTTTATTATACATAGTAATATCTGTTGAGTAATTACAATAAATTTAAACTACGAGACATCTCGTAGTTGGCAGTGAATCGGCTAAATCAAATTTATTTACCCCTTCGGTCCATTCGGTGTATAACCACAGCGGACTTTGGAGTCTCGTAGACACACCGTTTACTTGCGGTGATTTGGCCAAGCATGGTCCCAAATCGCAAGCTTCTTGTGTGTTAGGCTTCGATTCAGGATCACAAGAACTTTGTGCGGAGCAAGTGGCGAGCCTCGTCCGTTTACCTGGCCCACAAGACGTCGAACACTTTAACACGAATAAAAAGGAGCTTTGTCATTTCGAACAAGTATGATTTTTATTACACGAATGAGGTTAATTGTAATATTATGTCCTGGAAATTTCATTGCTTTATTAGATGGATATTTAATACAAAACAAATATAAAAAGGTACCTTTTTATTTCTATATGTTACAGCTAAATTGAGGTACGTTTAATCGCACTTTAAAATACAATATGTATCTCTAATTACACTACATCAGACAAGGTATATTTGGTAATTTTCATTCGAAATCCAACAAACTATTCCCTCACGGGAGAACAAATTACGAGGGACCTTCAGCTTTCATCCCAAAATACCAGACTACGCCATTAATTATAATATTCAATCTTCAGTTGATAGTAAATGCATCTCATAAACTGTTAAATTCGTTACATTTGAGCCACCGATTGCGTGATTTATCGCTTTCAAAAGTCACTCGACTGAAATACACGCGTGCAGTAGGTAATAAAGAAGGTAAAGTACCAATGACCACGTGCCCACGTTCCATTGCGAAGGCGGTAACGGCGCCGGTGTTATTTTTACGTCATATTCGCACGCTGGCATTTCGCAAACCTCGGTCGTTTGAAGAATTTTCGGTTCCATACAGGCACCGTCGGCTATTCGCATTATTAGCGACGGTTTGATTTCTTGCACGCATTCCAAGTCCCTGACACGTGTCCCGGTACCGCAGGTAACAGAACACTCGCTCCAAGGGCTGGCTCTCCATCTTGGAAGAATCGAACATTTTTAACGAGATTAAGTCATTGAAACAAAATTCTTTTCTCTGCAAAATCAAAAGCGTCTCAAGGTTATTTTATAAATATGTATACATAGAGAGCTCCATCAGAAGCAAGACATCAAACGAGACACCTCGTATTAATTAAGTCAACTATCGTTGGAAACATATTAAACTCATTTGGAATAATAGGAAAAAAATGTTGACAGACTGTAAAGGAAAATATAGCCTATGTGTGGCAATTCTTGTTTGCTGGTAGTAATGTTTTTCTAATTGCCTAGACTCCGCATCTAGGAGAAATAGTTAACTCCTTTGTACCGAATATATATAATATAATACTTTACATCTTTTCTGCAACGATAGAGTTTAAATGTTAATAAAGAAGCACGCTATTTTTCAACTTTTGCGTCACGACAAATTCTTTATTTAGCACCATGAGACAGAAACACACCGTCAACTACCTACCTATTATAGTATTATACATATACATGATGTGGCAATGAAAGAACTAACGTTATACTTACTTGGGTGGACAGGGTGTAGTATTACACCGTAATTGAATTTCTCGCGGCTTCTCCAACGCGTGGCACCTCTTCTCAGGTACCTGTGTCTGCGTGTGTTCTCTTATGCAGGTGTACTTGACTAACTGGGTACCTTTTTCCGAAGAAAAGTTCAAATAAGACCACCTTCGTCTCTTACGTTCTGAGCGAAATTAATCAAGTACTTGAGATTATTTCTTCTTTGAAGAAAGTTGTTACCTCCTCCACAGGATCTGCTGCATTCGGTGTAGCCAGTGGACTTCCAAACAAATTTTCGTTTCTTGTAGCGTTTCGGGAGAAATGGTTGAGTTCCATCGATATTCGGGGGTCCATTATCTGCTCTAAAAAAAAAACAATGAATTCATTTTAGTGTAGCGACTAATATTGACCAAGCTTAGAAAATTTGATTACGGTGCTAAACATTCAAGTATACCTTCTGTGAGGTATATTCGGAACGATAGGTTCGGCAGTTTTAATGGCAACTGAAAATGAAATTTATTTAAGATTAAAAGGAACGTTTATTACGGCAAATCATGAAATAAGAGCTTTATTAGTAGATTTTATTAATATTTATCGATACCTGTCTTATGCCCAAAATGAGAGTTTGTTGGAACGTTTACATTTCCAGGGATGACATACCGATACACAATACCTGGATTCGGTTCTTGGTACAGAACCTGATTAGAAAATATCAATATATCGTCACGCAACATTTTTATATTCATGAAATATCGTGGTTTAAATAATGTGACAGATGCACACAAGTACAATCAATTATTTACCATTACATCAATCGGTTCTTGCAGTGGCCCAGTAGCAGAAAAGCTTTCCAAATTTTGGGGACCTTGACGAAGATAAACAAAAGTGGTTCCAGCCGCTTGGTATTTACCAGATAAGTTAATACTGTAATTTCCATTGAATAAATAACTTCCATCTTGCAGTTTGATTGCTGAAAAGAAAAAATGTATGATATTTAAATTTAAATTATGAATGAAAAATAAATATACTACCGAGACAATAGTCCTATTTCTCAACAATTTTAGTACTCCATTCAAGATTAATTCAAGTTGTGGTTGACTTTTAGTTCTATAGACTATTTTCATATGGCTTGAACGATTCTATTGTGCACGCATATATTAATTAACGATGCAATCGCAAAAAATTTGCATTTTGCAAAGGCGCTATATTTCACAATCTCTTTTTAGTTATTCAAATGACACGTTTGTAGGGTCGAAAATTCAAGAGATCAAGATTGACATAGTCAATCGTGCACGCTGTTAATTATTTCGAGCGCGCGTGTGGGTGTTGAGAAGTAAATATCATGATCATTCGCGATATAGAACGTAAAAGTCATTCACAACGTTCGAATGCGAGAACCGCTGATTCTGTTAGCGTTATGTGCGCGATACGATACATTAGAAATATAGACGAGTCATTTAGTAAGTGCCGTGTACATAGGTCGCGATTAAATACTGTGCGTCTTTCAACTTTCTTCGGGCGCAGATAATTGAAACATTATATCGATATTTGCAATTATTACAAACTCTTTGAAACAGTAATTTTTCATTTCATTTTACTAAAAAAAAAAAAAATGCAAGAATGATCATTGTGGCAGACTACATTTTATTTCCAAACTAAACACAGGTGTGGAACGTTTCTTGTTAAATAATGTATATTTCTCTATTAAAGTGTTAACTGGCGGATACAACGAAATGGCAAACTTTCTCTTTCCCATAAGTTCGAAAATAATTACAAACTGAATTATAAAGTAAAATTATGTGCCATGAATAAATGGCACTCTAAAATGTTTTCATTCGACATCTATTATTGGAATAAAATTGTCTCCGGGTCAACGTCTGTTGTACCCGCATGTCTCATTCTGTTGATGTTGCTCCCACCTTATAAATCTTGACTTTTGCGATAAATTCGTTGGCTGAATCCGCCCAACAAACGCAACTTGGAAGACTGGCCAATAAAACGATTCGATTCGCTGCGAATTCAATACGTAATGGCGAACTCTGTCTGTCAAGATTTCGTATTAACGGCATAATTGATCGCATCAGTAAAAGCTTCGAATCGCTTCGCATTATTTCACACCTACCTACTCGTTCCTTGGAGATCTAAAGGAAGAAACAGCTATACATCGGATACGTGTTACATTAATCTTCTTAGCGATCTATGACACGTCGATTCATCGTCGTAAAAATTCCGATCGTGATCGTTTAGCATGGAATTATGTTATACAAGAGGCTCTACGCGTTGTGCATTTTATGACCGTACGATTTATGTGATTCTAGATAGGGACCAGGTAATGGGGGACTTTGTGCACACGGTAACAAGTATCAATTTTTCAAAAACTAAACTGGCTGTGATCAAAGTAACACGCGAATAGACATGGTGGAAAATAGAATTTAACAAATTCGATCCTTTAGAAGGATAATAAACACTCTGGCAAACTATACGTTTGTTCATACTTTATTTACACTATCTTCTACTGTTTTTCTTGTATCAAATTACACATTTCCAGCACGTAGTACAATTACTTCCAAGACTCGTTGTAATTATTAGTATCGATCTCCAAACCATAGAAAGTGTAACGTCGGTGTCGCAAATCTATTCTCCAACACGGGCTCGAGCATGACGCGATAGACTATCAAGAAATCGCTGAAACCAAATGTTCGAAGTGTAATGCAGTACATGATGTACCTATCAATAGCTGTAGCACTTGGTTTACAAGAGACAGCGTGTCACGTCCCATTTAGCACGCAACAGGAGATTAGATTATACGGGGGTTGACGCCGGGAGCACGACGGCGACGCCTCTCGTTCGCTTAGATTCCGACGATAGGAGATCTAAGCACTGATAATAAAGAGGAATCGCAAACAACCGCTGCTGATTGCTTACAATCGCGAACAATCACGGGCGACGATTTGCTTACTGGCACAGTTCATTAAAATCAGTTTGCCGCACTCGAACGGAATTCCGCGTATCAACTTGATTCAATGTTCCAGCCAACCTTCGTACGTTCTCATTTCTCTTCATTCGTTATGCGCTCGTTTCTGTTCCGCTTTATCGCCTCTTGGTACTTTCACGCCTTTGTCACGGGGACGTGTTTCTTTCATAAATCTGGATTACCCTCCGATTTTTATTTTTTTATCGCTCGCTGAGCTAGGCCGACGGCCACGATGCTTCAGGAGTAGAGAGTGTGAAACGTAACAATGAAATGAAAAGTATCATAAACAGTGGTAATTCTAAATGAAGGTTCTTCGTTGTTATGTATCGCGAACTTACTGTAACGAGTGTTAAATTGAAAATGACACTAAAAAATATTTACTCAAGCACCTATGTATCCTAGGTATCTCAGTCTCTTTTTTTAATTACGATGACTTTAGAAAGCCGTAGAGGACTTGGATCCCTTTTAACAAAATTCTTCTATGAACGAGACGAGAAAATCGGATAACTTATCTTATAAAATGTGAATAATATAAAAATAAAAGATTAAAGGAAGAACTACTTGTTGCTTTGTAAATTACAATATCCTTTTCGAATGGTCTCGAACGAAAGATTAAAATATATGTATTTAATAAAAATAATTATACACGTGCTAATACCAGCTTGTATCATAGTTTTAGATTAAAAAATACAACAAAATATAAAATGTCACTCTGTTACCCAAATAATTCTCCGTGTGACGCAGTTGGGTCACGTTCAGAGCGAGAGCACCTCTCGGGACAGTGGCTACGAGATTGTAACCCCGCTCCAAGGTCGGTTCCGTGAAAATCCCATCGATCAAATGTCCGCAACAGCAACTTGAGAGACACTGTAATCATAATTAGCGCGCAATTAATTCATTATACAAGAGCTTATCGCGCTTTTTAATCGAATGAAAACACGCTTAATGCATCGCGAGTCATTTCAATTCTCGAATACTGCATTAATTATATGCTGTTCAATGTGAGCAGAGGACTGACTGCTGAAACCACTTTATCGAACGGTAAGTTATACGATACTTTAAAATGCAAAGCGTGATAAATAAATGAAGTGTTTGATAAAAATATCAATATGCTAAATATCCTTTTTTTTTTTTTTTTTTTTTATAGCTCGTGATAGGTGGAAAGATTAATTAGCATCTGGTTAAAGGGGAACGTGGACAGTAATCGACAACACTTCTTGATATGGATTATTAAATTTCCATTAAATTGCTCGGAAAGATTATCTCCTAATAGCCTATTTAACCGCATTAGACTCGATATTAAACAATAATACGAGTATAACCATGTGGTTCACATTTTTTACACATGTTTTTAGAACAAATGATTCTTGTATATTTCAAGAATAACCAACATCAATGCGATCCTAATCAATAATTTGAATAACAGCTTCGTAATTCGTTTCAGCAGTGCATTCTTTACAACGACTGCGCGTACAATATCGAATGAATAAATGCACTTCAGAGAACACCGAAAAGACTCCGTTGCGGAAGAATGAAATGCCACAGAAGCAATCATGTGTTTACACGTCCTAAACGAGGTGGCATGGCATGGCATGGCGATCGGGACGTGCTAACAGAAATAATGGAAGCGTTACGCTTGTTTTGTCGAGCACAGTGCTTTCGTTACACTGCATTGGTATCCGTGATAAATATCTTTGACCTTTTTTACCGGACGGGGGCACGTACCATGATACTGAATATGGTAGGTTGTTGCGTGAAAAAAGAAATACTAACTACCGTGCAATTCCGCTGTCTAAAAAGTTTCCAAACCCAATTCCTACGTCCTGTTCGTTCGACGATAGTGAAACAAAGCCACTTATTCTTCTGCTACACAAAATAATATGTAAAACACATCTTTAAGTGTTATAAAATGTCGTAATCTCTTTCGTTCTACGATCTTTTCCCACCTTTCTGATACATGTAGTCATTATACCTTCGCTATAAAATTTCTGTAATAAATAGTTCATTTCTCCGTATGCTACAGCCTCTAGAAATTTATTTGCAGACATCAAATCGGAAGTGAATGTTCCATAATAAGGTGTACAGATGTAATCTGACCTCAAACGATCCTCACCTATTGCTCCCCAGCAGTCTCGAGAGTCTATCTCGAAACTGTCCAAACCCCAACTAGGATTAATCACTTTTTAAACCGACGTAATTCTTTCGAATGATTCAGGAACTAATCGGGTCTACTAATCGATCAACGACAAACACCTCACCTCACACCGAAGGTGACGAATAAAGTGATTTCTACCAGAGTTGTTGTAGCGAGATGTAGGTATGCATACCAAGAGGATCGTAGACCTCGTCTGTTTTGCCCGGAGGCGTCACAAACCGAATCACTCTTCAAGTTTCGTTCGCCTCTTCATTCAGAAGTGGCGACTATTTCCAGATAGTAATTAGTCAAAACAGAAATGCTGTTTGCACACGTGGCTACTCGGCGGCGCGAGTCTAAGCAAACAGTGGCTAGAGCGTTATTGAATCAGCTAGATTTGAAATGGATGTCCACGGCGCGAATTGGCAAGCCACAACACGCATGGCAGGACACGTGTTCGGGACGCATGAAACCGCCGTGAAATTATGGCTGTCAAGGTATAAATTTAGCCCCGTCGTCGTTCCGCACTCTCTACAGTCCGGCTGCAATTCGTCGTCCTGTCACCGAATCGCGACAGCCCGAGTGCACCGGAAATCGAGGACCACTCTGTGGGCGATCTGGACGTCGATGCAACGATCGAGAGACCACTCATGGCCATCGACGAACGAATTTCATACGTGTTACCAGTTACCAGTTACGTCAAGGACCAAGCTGCCTCGCATCCGCGTATTGACACGGAATAATAACCCGATATTAATGAGTTCCCAGTGACGGTGCTATTAGTATTCCAGTTCGATCAGAGTGTGCGGTTACTTGGTTACGAGCTTAATAGACAACAGAGTGAAGAATTGCCACGTTCTTTGTTATAGTGTCAGCTTGTTTCGTACTTTTCGTATACTATTATGCATTGGACATTTTTCTAGTATATGTTTTATTGTGATTTTTGTTTGGTTTGTAGAAGAAATTTAGTCAGTTGTTTCGTTACATAACAGATATCGTCGATATCATCGACGTTAATTTTGACACCTGTCTCTTATTCACTTATTTCTAAGTCCTAGAGCATTCCTGGTGTCGAATGTAGAATTAAAGCTCCTGGTCACCCGTCCGAAAGGGGAGCCTACAAACCTCGATGGCCAGCCACATGTTTGCTGTTATTCACCCTGACTCGCAAAGTTGTTCCGTGAAACAGTCGAAACCTTGACACATCTTCTTCAAAGCATGTTATGTGGTGCAATGCACTTCCTAGAGCAAATATTGATTTCGTGCCGAGTTCGACTTGTAGCGCATGCAGGCACTAATTGTAACGGGCACCCCCTTCCTGCCATATGGCATACATGTTATACACAGGTACAAGTCAAATATCCATTCTATTTAAAGAAAGATTCAGTTGAAATTCTGCAACCATCCACGGTGTACGAGTTTCTTGTTCGAATTCCGACAACCTATTGGATACTTTATCCTTACTTTGGCGTCGACGTCAGCGTCGCCGTTGAAAGTATTCGGGTTTGAGCCAGAATTTGCTATAATTGGTGATTACTATAATACAAGATGTCGTTTGACTAACCGACAGCTTCATGTTTCATCTATTAGAGCAAGCCTTCGAACACGTACAGTTGGACAAACTTAGTAAGATTCCAGATTCCAGTAATTTCGATGTTGAATCGAGAGAATCGGTCTTCTTCTTTCGTGCCAAGATTCGCTTTCGTGTTTTCTCTTCGCATTTATTCGAAGCTTCCAGGTTCATCTTCATTGTGTTCGTACGCGTGTCTTCGATGCTCAGATTTATTTATTACAAGGCAGTGACGATCACGGCGTCGTCTGCATACAATGGAAACTGCGTATCCTCGCTTCTGGCTAGATCTGACTAGTTGATAAACATTCGCAGACATGTACAAGCTTAACAAGTTTAATTAGATTCCTAAGGATGGAGGAGTAAGTGATGGGGATGACATTAGACGATTAGACGATCGTTTAGGCCTACAATGTGGCTAGTGGGTGTCACCTGATACTTTTTAAAAGAAGACTATTGAAGGATAACAGGGATCGTCGTGGATCTGCGATGAATTCCTAGAAGATGCTTTGTCGCTGCGGTTGGTACAGCGATGCAAATGACGCGGGTTTGATTTGTATGCATGGAAAATTGTCAATCTGGAAATAATGTTACGGAAGAAGGTCTGAAGGTTATTGTGACGTCTCGTGTGCGCGGGTGCACTCGTATTCACGCGCTTGATGAAGCTGAAGAAGATTAAGACGATAAGAAATTGTACGTTACAATGAGTAATTCTTTACGTGGGTTAGCGTTACATGGGCGTGGAATCGTTATATGGAACGCGAAAGACGCGTATAAATTACAAGGGAAAACCACATGGCCATGTACGAGCGAGTGCTTTGATGGTGATTCAGGTCGGATCTGAAACTTCGTATCTATTACTACCGTTTGATTGGGTGATTAATCACTGATGGTTTGCTTGAATGCTCTATTCTATTTCGATCCGGCAGTTTCGCAATTTGAGGATGCATCACGGTCATCGTAGCGTCAAGAATGTACTTCGTAGCTGTAGAAATTACAGATCGATTTGTTAGAATCGATTGGAAAGTAATCGAGTGAAACGATTAAAAGTGATTTCTTTTTGCTCGAACAACCGTTCATTGATATACCGAATGTTGCGTTTATCTGTGAATAGATAAATACATAGAATAACTTGATAGATCCATGTAATATGGAAGAATGTATAATAAATAAATAGTATAAATGTGTAAAGTAAATACAAGAAATCTAAACCATTTTCTTTTATTACAAAAATGGGACTGTTCACTTTGTTTTGTTTGGAAATTAAATAATTTCCATCTCTATTGATTCATTTCCAATGATGTGGTTTTATTACGAATCGTGAGGATTAATAAACGAAATTCTTAAACGACTAGCATTATTTTCTATTCAAATTGTTTTGTAAGAGCCGGAACAAGAAGTAGTCTGATGGTGGAACGCAGAGGGTCTGCAAAGGCGCCTATCTCATCACTTTCCACTTCCGGTTGGTCTGTAGCGATGCATAAGGTCTGACGTTATCTTGTCCGAAGATGAGACCCTTTCCATTAGCTAAAGCCTAATTTCTCGTTTCTCTTGGACTGCCTGCAACCTCTATTACACAATCTCAATATCAGCAATCTGTTCAGCCTGGTAATTGGAAATTTGTCATCGACTAATTATACAATCATTACTAATTTCGATGGATACAATTTTGACTTTTACAATTAAACATTTGAATCTAACATGAACAGAGATAATATTGCACACTCGAGACTGTAAATATCAAATCAACAGTCGCTAGGTGATTCATAGTTTCCCATTTACTATTTTTACCTCCCCGATGGGCTATTCTAACTTTCAGGTCGCACGCTACGTACTACATGTATATCGATATTGTACCAAATAATTTTAGTTTTGTGTGTGTGGGGGGGGGCGTATACGGCGTAGAACAATGACAGAACCGTGTTCAAGACGCGTTGAACAGAAAAAAGAAATGCTAATAAATGTTCGATTCGTTGTCTAACAGAGTCCATCTTTTGTCCTTCATAGCCGGCAGAGCTGAACGCTGGTACTGTTCCGTTGCACGACACTTCTTTTTTCAGTAAAAGCTAATCAGTAACGTGCATATAAAGCCGCGCCCAAAGTGACACTCCTCACTCTGATTGGATTAACCCGGGATGAATGTCAAGTTACTTGTTGCTTATA